CTGTTGGCAGAGTGTACATATATTGGTGGGAGCTGCCATGTGCTCTCTCGCCGGGACCAGCCATGGATTAGGGCTGGGGTCCTGTTCAGCCTGCCCCCCAGGCTAGGCCGAGGCCTGGGGGGTGGGCAGTGGCTAAAGTGAGGGAAGATGTTTCCCTGAGGCCTCCAACATGGAGGAGGGCTAAGAGATGGAGAGAGGAAAAGAACCTGTCCTGTGGGCATTGGCTAAAGTGAGGGAAGATGTTTCCCTGAGGACTCCAACATGGAGGAGGCCTGAGAGATGGAGAGAGGAAAAGAACCAGGACCAGTGCAGGCCCTTGAAGTGCCCTGGGTCTATGTGGACTTCAGAGCATGGTCAGTGTTTCTTTCCTGGATCGTGGAGCTGCATGGCTACTTTAACAAGATCCGGTGAGTCTGGAGCTGAGGATGATTACCCCTAGACACCTAGAACCCCTATACCCTCTCCCCCACAGAAGATGTTCAATTAGCATCATACTACTGAAGTGGACATCAATTTATGGGCGCCAGAAGAGGGTAGTTAGTGCTAATGGGGCGCAGATGGAAATCAACCCCCTAGACCGACTAGATGTGGACCGGGCAAACAGCGGCTCGCTGCTGGGAGTTATCGCTACATATACATCGAGTCAGTCTTGATCCAGGGATACGGAGAGCGGCCATGTTTAGTACCGGCTATGCTGCAATAGTTCAGAGGTCAGGTACACCGACGCGCCTGAGTCATAACCGGGTCAGACATCACAACCTCAGAGTGTACTTATCTTAGATGTGAATATGTAAGAAGAGGAAAAAGGACGTTCAATGTTCTGCTATCAGCCTGACCTGTGCTGGTTCTGCTTCCAGTATAAGCCCTCAGGAAGGGTCATCCTCATTTAAATAGGATATGAGGATAAAAAAATGAAGTCATCCTCATTTTAAATTTGGATAGATGAAGTCATGGTAAAAAAAAGAAACACTTCTTTTTGTGCTGTCTGTGAACCATTTACAGGGTTATTCACTAAATGGTGAAGAATATGGAGAAGGCCGGAGAAGGGAACAATCTAGGCCAAAATAGCTGATTTGGAAACATTTTCCAATTCAGCTCACTTTCCAGTTCGGCTATGTTGTCCGAGATTGTTCACTTCTCCAAACCCTTCACCCTTTTGTGAATAGCCCTGTTAGACCTGCTAGCTTAGTCAATGAAACACAGGCTACCAACAAGCCTGCAGGCAGGGCTGGGTTTTCTTAGAAAGCCCAGCATCCTCTGGAACATAAGTGATGTTGATGAACCCTCTGGTAGGTGTTAATTTGTTATTGTTAATGTTATTATTTTACTATTATTTTATCATGTGACACTCCAGCCCTGACGAACTAGGCAGTGTATAGAACCTGAAAAGCGCTGGCTTTTGTACACAATATGTGTTTGGAATAAACATGCACGTGGACTTGAATATTATGCATCAATCTAGATATTGGGTTGGTTATTTACAGATGGATTCCATGGTCACCTTGGGTTATGATGGGGATGGATGAGTCTACAATTGAAGCGCAACAGGTATCCCACCGCACTCCTAAGCGGTATACCCCTTCTGCTCTACTGACCTGTACATCTCTTCCACACTCCTGACCGGTATACCCCTTCCACACTCCTGACCGGTATACCCCTTCCACACTCCTGACCGGTATACCCCTTCCACACTCCTGACTGGTATACCCCTTCCGCACTCCTGACCGGTATACCCCTTCTGCACTCCTAACTGGTATACCCTCTCCACACTCCTGACCGGTACACTCCTTCCGCACTCCTGACCAGTATACGCCTTCCACACTCCTGACCGGTATACCCCTTCCGCACACCTGACTGGTATACCCCTTCCGCACTCCTGACCGGTATACCCCTTCTGCACTCCTAACTGGTATACCCCTTCCACACTCCTAACTGGTATACCCTCTCCACACTCCTGACCGGTACACTCCTTCCACACTCCTGACCGGTATACCCCTTCCGCACTCCTGACCGGTATACCCCTTCTGCACTCCTAACTGGTATACCCTCTCCACACTCCTGACCGGTACACTCCTTCCGCACTCCTGACCAGTATACCCCTTCCGCACGCCTGACCTGTATACCCCTTTTGCACTCCAAACCGATATTCCCCTTCCACACTCCTGACCGGTATACCCCTTCTGCACACCTGACTAGTATACCCCTTGAGGATGAGAGCTGAAATGGCTGCAGATGGCAGATTGCAGATACAAGAGGTCACCAGCACACTGATGAAATGTGTCCAAATAAATGTCTATATTGATGTGCAGACATATTGTCACAAGGATGGCAATCTCTCAGGGCCACACAGGGTCCCTTCATCAGGCTCAATATAATAGTGTGGAAGAGGTATACAGGTCAGGAGTGCGAAAGGGGTATACCGGTCAGGAGTGCGAAAGGGGTATACCGGTCAGGAGTGTGGAAGGGGTATACAGGTCAGGAGTGCGAAAGGGGTATACCGGTCAGGAGTGTGGAAGGGGTATACCGATCAGGAGTGTGGAAGGGGTATACAGGTCAGGAGTGTGGAAGAGGTATACAGGTCAGGAGTGTGGAAGGGATATACTGGTCAGGAGTGTGGAAGAGGTATACAGGTCAGGATTGTGGAAGGGGTATACCGATCAGGAGTGTGGAAGGGGTATACAGGTCAGGAGTGTGGAAGGGGTATACAGGTCAGGAGTGTGGAAGGGGTATACAGGTCAGGAGTGTGGAAGGGGTATACAGGTCAGGAGTGTGGAAGGGGTATACAGGTCAGGAGTGTGGAAGGGGTATACAGGTCAGGAGTGTGGAAGGGGTATACAGGTCAGGAGTGTGGAAGGGGTATACAGGTCAGGAGTGTGGAAGGGGTATACAGGTCAGGAGTGTGGAAGGGGTATACAGGTCAGGAGTGTGGAAGGGGTATACAGGTCAGGAGTGTGGAAGGGGTATACAGATCAGGAGTGTGGAAGGGGTATACAGGTCAGGAGTGTGGAAGGGGTATACAGGTCAGGAGTGTGGAAGGGGTATACAGGTCAGGAGTGTGGAAGGGGTATACAGGTCAGGAGTGTGGAAGGGGTATACAGGTCAGGAGTGTGGAAGGGGTATACAGGTCAGGAGTGTGGAAGGGGTATACAGGTCAGGAGTGTGGAAGAGGTATACTGGTCAGGAGTGTGGAAGGGGTATACAGGTCAGGAGTGTGGAAGGGGTATACTGGTCAGGAGTGTGGAAGTGGTATACCGATCAGGAGTGTGGAAGGGGTATACAGGTCAGGAGTGTGGAAGAGGTATACAGGTCAGGAGTGTGGAAGGGGTATACAGGTCAGGAGTGTGGAAGGGGTATACTGGTCAGGAGTGTGGAAGTGGTATACTGGTCAGGAGTGTGGAAGGGGTATACAGGTCAGGAGTGTGGAAGGGGTATACTGGTCAGGAGTGTGGAAGTGGTATACCGATCAGGAGTGTGGAAGGGGTATACAGGTCAGGAGTGTGGAAGGGGTATACTGGTCAGGAGTGTGGAAGTGGTATACCGATCAGGAGTGTGGAAGGGGTATACAGGTCAGGAGTGTGGAAGAGGTATACCGGTCAGGTGTGTGAAAGAGGTATACAGGTCAGGAGTGTGGAAGAGGTATACAGGTCAGGAGTGTGGAAGAGGTATACAGGTCAGGAGTGTGGAAGAGGTATACAGGTCAGGAGTGTGGAAGGGGTATACAGGTCAGGAGTGTGGAAGGGGTATACAGGTCAGGAGTGTGGAAGGGGTATACAGGTCAGGAGTGTGGAAGGGGTATACAGGTCAGGAGTGTGGAAGGGGTATACAGGTCAGGAGTGTGGAAGGGGTATACAGGTCAGGAGTGTGGAAGGGGTATACAGGTCAGGAGTGCGGAAGGGGTATACAGGTCAGGAGTGCGGAAGGGGTATACAGGTCAGGAGTGCGGAAGGGGTATACAGGTCAGGAGTGCAGAAGGGGTATACTGGTCAGGAGATTGGGAGGGGTATACAGGTCAGGAGTGTGGAAGGGGTATACAGGTCAGGAGTGCAGAAGGGGTATACTGGTCAGGAGTGTGGGAGGGGTATACCAGCCAGGGGTGCGGTGGGATACCTATTGCGCTTCATATGTAGACTCATCCATCCTCATCATAACCCAAGGTGACGATGGAGTCCATGTGTAGAAGATACCAACCCAATGTCCAGACTATCCATAGTCATACTACCATCATACTAATGGATGATAACAACAATCCAAAATCAATATATAAGAAGACTCCGGGGTTCCAGAGCCTTAAACCCATTTCCTTAGATTTGTATTGATGTCTATGTCCCCTACTGGGAAACCTCACCCTCTCTATTAGTCCTGGATCATCGTGGTGGGGACTCAAAGGGGTAAGTGTTATGATTGTGACCAGAACAGGAGGTGGGGGAATCTTCCAACGGGGACGTGTGTTCTGGTGACAACTAAAAGGGTGTTTCCCCCTCTTACCTCTTACTTCGTGTTGTGTTTCTAGCACAGGAAGTGAAGGGAAACTTCAAAACTTGGACACAGACAATAAAAACACCCCGGATCTAATTCTTCCCTACTTTATTTAAAGCTTTGACATCAGATAAACCTTAATTAGACTCGATGAGACGTTATTAAACATGATTTTAACATAATCAAACAATTGTATAGCCATAGAGCTTTTTAGGGGATTGGTCAACAGTATTGCTGGTTGAAAAACAGGACGTTCCGGGGACTCAAGTGCTGGGACTGTCCTTGGAAATTAATTAAACTTGGCAACAGTATACGGTATACATAACAATTGCCCCTTGTATTGGCTCCTGGTCACGTGACCCAAACACTTTCTAGAGCCCCTTCTCTGTGATGTCACAATTGCAGAGGTCAGCCATGTTGGCACGACCAGTACAGAGTCCCCAGACCAGCGCATATCACAAACACACCATTCCATCCAATCTAGATCCTTCTTCCTTCATAGAAACATGGAGCGGGTCACCTACCCTGGGGGTCTGCAGTCAGCCCGGGCAGCAGAAAGGTGGGGGGCAGTCGGACATCCACTGCGCCGTATGCGTCGTGTCTGAGGTTGTGGTGGGAAGTGAGCAGTGACCCTTCGACTGGGCTCTCTGTCACTCATTAACCAGGACAGGTTGCTGATATTATAACTAACATACCAACATCACACATCTATCTACCCTTCTCCGATCCCCAGAGCAAGCCTGATAATTGGAGAGAGAGAGAGATAGAAAGAAAGATAGATAGATATTAGATAGATAGATAGATAGAGGGATAGATATTAGATAGATAGATAGATAGATAGATAGATAGATAGATAGATAGATAGATAGATAGATAGATAGATAGATAGATCATCTTCCTTGCACAGATCTGTAGCTCCTTGATATACAGTATGTATCCTTGATATACAGTATTGCCTTTAAAATACTAGATGTAAAGAATATGAAGGAATGGGGAGAACTTTCCGTCGGACTCTCCACCAGCAGATGGCACTCATAGACTGTTTTGGTTGTCGGTTGGTTTGGTCGTATTTTCAGTCTTCACACCAGATGGCACTAAAATTCAATCCAGTCCTGAGAAAATACAAGGACTGCTAAACTCTTGCTTGGAAATTACTAGTTTCCTGGCCTGTTATGCTGATCCAACTAATCCAATCCAGCGTTATGGTGTCATCGCCGTCCTGGTGGGT